ATTAATATTTTATATTTCAGTATTAATTTATTTAATTAAGTTTATATTTAATTAATAAATAAAAATTAAAACTAGATGGACCTGATTAAAAATTTAGTGAAATTATAAGGACTTAATAAAAAGAAAAATAAATGCGAGGACTTAATTAAAAACAAATGAAAGTATAAGGACCTGATAAAAAGAAAAAAAACTATAAAGACCTCATTTAAAATTGGTTGAAACTATAAGGACTTGCAGATTAATTAACCCTTTTGAAATAAGGAAATATTAACAATTTATCCCAAGTAAGCTATATCAACCTTTCTCCTTTCATTTAAGTAGTATGCGGAGCGAAACAAAACTAAAAGAACTATAAATGAGAATTTTTCTCATACTCAGTGACTTGAAAAGATAAAAAAAAATAGTTATAGCTAAATAATAATAAATATCATATCTCTAATTTCTTTGCATAAAAAATTAATTTTCTGCTACTTTGGATTCTTAATATAAGAGCTAGTTGACTAATTTAAATAAATTAAGAAAATTAGTTAAATCAGTTATTGTAATAAGTAGGTGTTATCTTTTCTAAAATATCCTTACTAATTATATATATTAGCTAGAACTATTATGTGATGAAATTTTTAACTTGTGCAATTATTATGAGAATTATTTTGAAAAAATATGAATAAAATGATAGACAAAATGAATTAGAATCTTTTATTTATAACCAAATTAAATATCAAACTAGCTTTTATATTAAGTATAAGAGGTAATATTATACTACCTCCGGTCCTAATTATAAGAGCCAGTTGACTAATTTGAGGAGATTAAGGAAAGACGTTAAGTTAGTTATTTGTAATAAATAGGTGTTGTCTTTCCTAAAATATCTTTGTTAATCAAGTGTGTTGGTTAGAATTACTATTGTTAGAATGACTATCTTGAAAAATGCATAAATATGAGAGACAAAGTAGATTATAATCTTATATTTAGGACCAAAATAAAAATCAAATAAGATTTTATATTAAGGAGCAGAGGTAGTATATAATACGGAATGGGATCCTCGTTTAGCATGTGATTTTGTGATTTTATAAATATAATATATACGTATGCATACATATGTGGACAGCATAATGGCAAATGATGCCACCCAATAGATCTTTGCCTTTATCTGTGTCTCTTTTTCGCATTAATATTAATGTATCTATTCAGCCTAAAAAATCGTGCTTAATAGGTGTGTGAGGCTCTGTTAAATTTTTTTAGGTCTCAAGTTCGAGTTTTAGACACTTATGTTGAGAGGGGCAATCATGAACTCGTTTAGTCGGTTATTCAAATATCTGATAATAAAATTCATAAAAAAGGTTGAGTACCGAATATAATAATAGTATAAAAATGGTCAGAAACGAGCTATTTACGATTTATAATAAGCAAGGTGACTTATCTAATTAAGACTCAGTATAAATATAGAGGCAGACCTCTAATTTCTAATAATTTGATGCCATTTATAAATAATAAACAATAAAAAAGGCATTATTTTAACTTCTCTTAATTGTTCTCTTCTTGTGTGTGTATTCTCCCATTAATTTCATCTTTAAACTGCCCTGATTACTAGTTCGATCCTTCCTAATCCTCTACCTACCCCATTTCTATCTGAAAATAAAATAATTTGTACGCTTCTTAATTACTCTTAGTAATACCAAAAAAAGCCCCTTAAGTCCTTGAAATATTTATATATATATTTATACACATATATGTCAATAGTACGGATGCGAATTTCTTATGTTGCCGCCAATTTCAATATACAGTAAGCAAATTAAAGAAACTATCATGTGTGATATTTGGCCTATAAATAGACAGAGATTGGAGAGTCCCTTCACTCACAAATCAACTTCAAATTAAACTTAGAACTTTCTGGTTTCTTGATTGATCATCATGAGACTTTCAGGTTCTGTTCTGGTTCCTCTCCTCTTCCTCATCCTGGTGCGTTTTCCTTCCCTTCATTCTAACTTGTTTTAAGTTCCCTTTAATTATATATCATAGCCTCTTATTCCGTGAATAATTATTGCTTATTGGGTTCTTAATTTGTTCATCATAGCTATTTCCATTATCTTAAACTACGTGTTTTTATATTCTGAGACAAAATTTCATGCAGTGAAAGAATCACTTCTCCTCAACTAATCGGAAGAGGCACTTGAACTGCTCATCATAACTATTTCCATCATCTTAATATCTATTTTCTGTCTCAGTATAATGAGTAGTTTTAATTTGCATCAGTAAATTAACTTGTCTCTTTGTTTTTTGTGTGGAATAGTTGGCTGACACAGCAACCTCAAGAAAAGATCCAGGAGAATACTGGAGAATGATTATGAAAGATGAGGCCATGCCTAGAGAAATCCAAGGCCTTATTCATCGTAGTCCTTCGATTCACTCCCACAATCATCTTGTTGAAGGATCGAAGAACCACAAATGTGATGACGAATATGATCAGAATCAGCCTCCTGTTACCACACAAAAGATGATCATACGAGAAGAGATCGATTTGCCCAGGCCTGGTACTTCGTCTTACAATAATGGCCATCCTGCCGCCACAGAAAAAAGATTCATGAAAGATTTTGAACCGAGGCCTAATGTCTCGGCTTACAGCGACGATAAGATTGGAGCTCAGCAAAAGAAGAGATTTGCAGAGGATTTTGAACCTAGGCCTAATGTCTCAGCCTACAACGATGATGATGTTGGAGTGGAGGAAAAAGATGAATTCATGAAAGATTTTGAGCCAAGACCCAATGTCTCAGCATACGGTAAGAATGAGGAAAAAAAGTTCGTCAAAGATTTTGAGCCCAAACGGAACGTCTCAGCATATGGTAAGGACGAGAAAAAGAAGTTCGCAAAAGATTTTGAGCCAAGACCAAACGTCTCATCATATGACAAGGATGAGAAAACAAAGGTCACGAAAGATTTTGAACCAAGACCAAATGTCTCAGCGTATAGTAAGAACGATGAAAAGAAGTTTGCAAAGGATTTTGAGCCAAGACCGAATGTCTCAATATATGGCAAGGACAAGACAAAGTTTGAGAAAGATTTTGAGCCAAGACCAAATGTCTCAGCATATGACAAGGACGAAGAAAAGAAGTTCGCGAAAGATTTTGAACCAAGACCAAACGTCTCAGCATATGGCAAGGATGAGGAAAAGAAGTTCACAGACGATTTTGAGCCAAGACCGAACGTCTCAGTATATAGCAAGGACGAGGAAAAGAAGTTCACAGAAGATTTTGAGCCAAGACCAAACGTCTCAGCATATGGCAAGGTCGAGGAAAAAAATGTTTGTGAAAGATGTTGAGCCAAGACCAAATGTCTCAGCATATGGCAAGGACGAGAAAAAGAAGTTCACGAAAGATTTTGAACCAAGACCGAACGTATCTGCATATGGCAAGGATGAGGAAAAAAAAATTTGTGAAAGATTTTGAACCAAGGCCCAATGTGTCAGCTTATGGGGAAGATGAAGTCAAAAATGACTTTGAACCCAGGCCTAATGTGTCTGCCTATTCTGATGAATGAACCAGAATAAGGTTATAGACACGTGTGGTGCATCGTTATGTGTATTATTTATATATGGTGTGGTGTGTTACTAGAATTGATAAGAATATTAACTGAACTTGTGGGTTACTCGTATTTCATAAATAAAAAGTTTGAATGGATTAATTCCTTCGTTTTCCCTCCTTCATAATAAGACTTGGTTGTGATTAAATTTTTTGTGAGATGACACAAAAGTCTTTAAACTCGCTTACCGTTTGACTAGCGTTGACCGGGGTTAACTGACTGTCATTGATCGTTGACTAGTCACCTACCACTCTGTTAGCGTTGATCATTGTCCAAAGACTATTTACCGGCCCAAGAAAGTTTTTTTTTTGAATTGAAATATTAATATTTTAATAATTATAAGTCAAACATCCCAAATTTACAAGTAAATTTTCAAAAAAAATAAATACATTAATATTTGCAAAAAAAGTCTCTTGGATTTACATTTAGCCAAAACTCTCGTAGATTTACAAGTGAATTTACATAATATTTTCTTCGGTTTTTCAAATGATTTCTCTGTCAACTTTTGATATCTATAAGTTATCTTTTAAACTCATAAACCATACTTTAAAATTGATAACTTAACATGGTAAAGAAGACTTCCTCTCGTAGTTGAATTGGAAATCAATTGAGACAAATAAATCATAATTTTTCTTATTTCCAAACCCATATATATGTGTGTCTAATTAATACGCTCTGCCTCAATAATAGTACTTCTCTGGTCCTAAATATAAGACTCGTATACATCTATGATGTATACGAGTCTTATATTTAGGACCAGAGGAGTAATTAGTACATCATATTCTTCTCTATCGAAGGAACCGAACAAAAGATTTGAATTAAAGATGCTGATATAATTGAAGAGTTAATTAAGTGTTTGATATTATATGAGTTTGTCCAATTTTGATCACTTGGGTTCAGAGTAACAGAGGGGGGAGGGGAGGAAAACAAGTAGAGAAGGAACCAAGATGAAACAGAGTATGGGCTTTGTGTGTGTATAACAGAAATGATTTATATGCCCATGTCATCATATTTGATACGAAGTTATAAAAAAATTATCAATCTAACAGGTTGATAAAATTTTTAAAGTCATAATTAACCGATACAAGTTACGTTGACTTGTTAAAACAGAATGAAGGAACAATAATAAACAAAAGAAACAAGTTGCTCAGACATCATCCAAAAACAGTGCCAACAATAACGTAAGTGGCATGAAAACTCTTCTACACAAGTAGGAGGTTGTGGTTTCGATTCTATTTATAACCTTAGACTTTTAGGCTATGTTTGGATGGTGAGAAAAGTAGGAGGAGGGAATACTAGGAAGGAAAACTTCCAGGAATAATTTTAAAAAATTACTATTTTTGGGAGTTTTCCCTCCTAATATTCTTTCCTCTTTAATTTTCTCCCCATCCAAACATAGGCTTAGGGTCTGTCCTGGGGGAATAAAATCAACAAGGCACAACATGATTTTATAGATCATGAGAATTCTGCAGAAAAAAGACACTGACTGATGCAGCATACGACTAATAACAACCTAGAAGATTTCTACGATGAATATATATGCAAGAGAGATTCTGAATCCCTTATTTATGACATTAATATATTTGTTACATCTCATTTTCAATACAGGACACTCAATATACTCCATCTCTCAGCGATACAAACGTCATCATCTAGCTGAGATATTATCATACTTGTCCTAAATGTAAGATATACACACTAGTATAGTCTTACATTTATATAGCATATATATATATATATATATAGTGTTTCTTTTTGCCCCAAATCAACCCTTGTTGCCAGTTAAGTCAAGGTTCTTGACAGAGGGCTTAGTCTTTTCAGGCACATCATGGGAGTGATATATTATAACATTTGGTTTTATATCAAAGTCCCTAACGAAGCGATCCTTCTTGTTATTTTCTGCTTCTGAGAATTCTGATGATGGAGAATCCTTTACAACCGGTCTTTAATGGCTTCCGGCACAGGTTGATTCTGCATCACGTTCTTCCAATAATCTCCCACGTCTTTTCTTGCATAGCTGAGGCTGACGAACTGTACTTCACAGAGTTTAATAACAATAAGTTATTATAGTGTGTGTGTGTGTGTGTGCGTCCAAAAACTGAAAGCTTAATTATGCATGAATAATAATGAGTAGAATGTTAGAGATCGAAGAATAGTGATAGAGGACGAGGTTGAGGAAAAGCTTACCAGGAGAAGAGAGAAGAAGATGATGCAGAATATTGCAGAGATAGATCTCATGATGCTTTTTCTTTTCTTGGGGTTAGATTTCTGAGTTTAAGGGTTGATGTGTGAGGTTAAGGATATGAGTCTATACCTTTTATAATAGGCGAAAAGTTTATTTGAAATGATAAATGTGGTTGAAAAAGTTTTATGGTGCGGGCATTGTGCTGTTGGTTTTCAAAGGCGAAAATGGAAGGCAAAGATAAGGTGTGACTATAGCTAGGTAGCATATGACATCAAATTCGGGAGTCAAGGTTTTCCATTTGCTGTGTCTCCTTTCCTATTCATATGATTAAGGTCCTACCCATTGCTTCTTAACACGAGATCCTCTGAAAAATTATGACACATCCATCACTAATTTCAAAAAAAAAAAAAAGCAGATAGAGTTGACTGATAGAGGTTTAGGATTCAAACTCGATCTTGTAATATAAAGTCAAAGAAATTAAAGATCGAATACATTAAATTGAGGGCATTGAGATGATTACTGTGGATTCATGCATGTAGGCAGCTTTCAAACGGCTATGAGATAAAGTTATATGACATTGACTATAAAAGTTCTCCGAAATGATCGCTTGCCATTTTTTCTTTAATTAAAGTCAACTGGAATTATGAGTCTGATGGACCATTATGATATATATGTTTTTAAGAAATACTGTCCCCCCGTACCTAATATAAAAGTTAAAAAACTAATTTGTAAATATTAAAAAAATTAGTTAAATTAATTATTTATAATAAAGAGGTGTTGTTTTACTGAAATATTCCTGTTAATTATGCAAAACAACTGGAAAAAAAAAAGAAGAAGAAAATATCAAGACGGTGGAGGAGGAGGATTCTTATTAGTGAGCTATTATATTCAACTGTTCATATGTCTAAAGCATCATTAGGAGAAAAGGAAGTCCATTGCTACAATAGAAAACGTCTATGCAAGCGGAAAAAGTAAACATATTCCTAGATCCCAGTGCTCAGGCTTTTTAATGAGCAGTCATTGAGGATAACAGTTTCAATGTCGAAATTGGGTTGTCTTCTCCGGGAACTACCTTTTCTTTGGAATCGATAATTGCCAGGTGTTTCGCCCTTTTTTCCTTATGCTCTGTGGCTGTTATATGGCAGCTTATTCATGCCACGTTGAATAACTCAGTTTGACTTATAGATAATAAAGATACAATTTTTAATTGGCGTAAATTTGAAGCCCTGAGTTTTAAACGAGTCAAAAGTTTAGAGATTGAGTTACATCAAGTCATAGTTGAAGAACTAAGTCACAACTGAGTTAAAACTTGAAGGACTAAAAAATTAATTTTTCCTTTTTTTTTAATTGAAATATTAATATTTTAATAATTATAAGTCAAACATCCCAAATTTACAAGTAAATTTTCAAAAAAATAAATACATTAATATTTGCACAAAAAAAAAGGGTCTCTTAGATTTACATTTAGCCAAAACTCTTGTAGATTTAGAAGTGAATTTACATAATAATTTCATCGGTTTTTTATATTTTTAAAAAAATGATTTCTCTGTCGACTGTGCATATCTATAAGTTATCTTTTAAATTTATAAACCATACTTTAAAATTGATAACTCAACACGGTAAAGAAGACTTATATCCTCTTGTAGTTGAATTGGAAATCAATTGAGACATATAAATCAATAATAGAAATCAGTAGACCATATTCTTGCCCGTCGAAGGAGCCGAACACAAGATTTGAATTAAAACTTAAATGCTGATACAATTGAAGAGTTAATTAAGTGTTTGATATTATGTGAGTTTGTCCAATTTTGATCACTTGTGTTCAGAGTAACCGGGGGGGGGGGGGAAGAAGTAGAGAAGGAACCAAGATGAAACAGAGTATGGGCTTTGTGTGTGTATTAACAGAAATGATTTATATGCCCACGTCATCATATTTAATTGTTACGAAATAAAAAAAACTAATCCAACAGGTTGATAAAAATTTTTAAAGTCATAATTAACTGATACAAGTTACGTTGACGTGTTAAAACAGAGTGAAGGAACAATAATAAAAAAAAGAAACAAGTTGCTGAGACATCGTCCAAAAACAATACCAACAATAACGTAAGTGGCATGAAAACTCTTCTACATAAATAGGAGGTTGCAGTTTCGATTCTGCTCAAAACCTTAGGCTCTTAGGCTATGTTTGGATGGTGAGAAAAGTAGGAGGAGGGAATACTAGGAAGAAAAACTTCCAGGAATAATAAAAAAAAAATTACTATTTTTGAGAGTTTCCCTCCTAATATTCTTTCCTCCCTAATTTTCTTCCCATCCAAACATACTTTTATGCTGTATTTGGCTCAACTAAGGGAAGGGAAAGGGAGGGATTTTAATGAAGAAAAAGAGAGAGGATCGGAAGAAAAGGCAAGGTAGCTACAGAGGGGAGGGTAGGAAAAGGGAAGTGAGGGAAGAAATTTTAATGATCTCTTGTTTGGATTTATTAGAGGGGAGGGAATGGGAGGAATTTTAACGATATCTTATTTTGTTCTAATAAAAAATTAACTATTTTAATCTTATAAAATTTAAATGAATTTTTTCACTTTTTTATTTTATCAAGGTATAAACATATATATAATACAACTCACCAACTTTAACTTGCAAGATACCGTCACATGTAAGAAACAGTAGGTGATGGGTTTCAATCGAAGAAGAGGCATTGAAGGTAAAAGAAAATATGGCATAAAATAATGACAATAGAAGAAGAGAAAAGAGGTCTAACAACGTTTACAAACTTTGGAGACAACTATCTCGACGGCCTCTAGCTAGTTATTCAAGGGAACTTTCTTGCTTGAAAATGTTTAAGGCTGATTAAGGGTTAACAAACTGAAAGGGCATATAAGATATTAAAGTGTTTTAGTTAGGCTAATTTTGAAATTAAATGACTTTGAAACTTAAAATTTTATCTCTCGTCTTCCCTCCAAAAAACCCTACTTTTGGAGGGGAGGCTAGAAGGAAAAAGGAGGAGAGAAGAGCCCGTCCCCTCTTTAAAAAATATCTCAACCAAACAAATGGAGGGGAGCAACTCCCCTCCCTTCCTAAAAAAATGCATCAACCAAATGAGGAGAGAGGACTAACTCCCTCCCTCAAAAACCCTGTACAAAACATAGTGTTAGGCTCTACCTTGGGAGGGGGGAATCAACAAGGCACAACATGATTTCATAGATTATGAGAATTCTGCAGAAAAAAGACACTAACTGATGCAGCATACGACTAATAACAGCCAAGAAGATTTCTACGATGAATATATATGCAAGAGAGATTCTGAATCACAGATTTATAACATTAATATGCTTGTTACATCTCATTTTCAATACAAGACACTCAATATACTTCATCTCTCAGCGATACAAACGTCATCATCCAGCTGAGATATTATCAAATTACTTAGCATATAATATATATATATATATATATATAGTGTTTCTTTTTGCCCTCAAATCAACCCTTGTTGCCAGTTAAGTCAAGGTTCTTGACAGAGGGCTTAGTCTTTTCAGGCACATCATGGGAGTGATATATTATAACATTTGGTTTTATATCAAAGTCCCTAACGAAGCGATCCTTCTTGTTATTTTCTGCTTCTGAGAGTTCTGATGATGGAGAATCCTTTACAACCAGGTCTTTAATGGCTTCCGGCACAGGTTGATTCTGCATCACGTTCTTCCAATAATCTCCCACGTCTTTTCTTGCATAGCTGAGGCTGACGAACTGTACTTCACAGAGTTTAATAACAGTAAGTTATTATAGTGTGTGCGTGTGTATCCAAAAACTGAAAGCTTAATTATGCATGAATAATAATGAGTAGAAAGTTGGAGATCGAAGAATATTGATAGCAGATCAGACGAGGTTGAGGAAAAGCTTACCAGGAGAAAAGAGAAGAAGATGATGCTGAATATTGCAGAGATAGATCTCATGGTGCTTTTTCTTCTTTTGGGGCTAGACTTGTGAGTTTAAGGATTGATGTGTGAGGTTAAGGATCTGAGACCATATCCTTTTATAATAGGCGAAAAGTGTATTAAGTTTATTGAAATGATAAATGTGGTTGAAAAAGTTTGTGGTGCGGGCATTGTGCTGTTGGCTTTCAAAGGGAAAATGGAAGGCAAAGATAAGGTGTGACTATAGCTAGGCAGCATATGACATCAAATTCGGGAGTCAAAGGTTTTCCATTTGCTGTGTCTCCCTTCCTATTCATATAATTAAGTTCCTACCCATTGCTTCTTAACACGAGATCCCTTACAAAATTATGACACGTCCATAACTAATTTCAAAAAATGCCCTTGTCTCTTTATTTATTTATAATGGCATTTTCACCCCCCTCTCTCACACGCACACACAATGGCCATCTAGAAGGTCCTACTTACACACACACACACACACACACACACGCATATACATACATATATAATAACAAAGGGGTATACAAGGTCCTGCTTTATCCTTTCGCACAAAAGCAGAGACGTTCTTCTTTTTCTTCTTCTTCTAAGGATAGGTTCACACACACAATGGCCATCTAGAAGGTCCTACTTACACACACACACACATAACAACAGGGGGGTATATAAGGTCCTACTTTATCCTTTCGCACAAAAGCAGATACGTTCTTCTTTTTCTTCTTCTTCTTTTTAAAGATAGGTTCTTATTTTTCTCCTTGCACATAAAGAGGCGTAAGTGGGACTTCAAGTAGACAAATAAAATAGATAAAACCAACTAGTTACGTGAATTCATATAATAAAGTTGACTGATAGAGGTTTAGGATTTAAACACGATCTTGTATTATAAAGTCAAAGAAAGATCGAATAGATTAAATTGAGGGCATTGATATGATTATTGTGGATTCATGCATGTAGGCAACTTTCAAACGGCTATGAGATAAAGTTATATGACATTGACAGAGTTATACTGCACAAATTGTAAAAGTTCTCCAAAAGGATCGATTGCCATTTTTTCTTTAATTAAAGTCAACTAGAATTGTGAGTCTGATGGATCATTATGATATATGTGTTTTTAAAGAAAAAAATTAGTTAAATTAGTTATTTATAATAAATAGGTATTGTTTTTACTAAAATATTCTTATTAATTATGTATACTGAAATAATTTTTACAATTACCATAGAGATTATGTGAGGTAAAAGAGATAAATATAATAAAAAAAAGTAGATTGAGCATTATATTTAAAATTAAATTAAACCTCCAACTAGCTCTTATATTTAAGGTAAGAGGTAGTATACTATTCACAAGTTCCAATTTCATGCGTGTCATATTATCATGTAGTTGCCAATTCGCTATTTTTTTTTTCTTTTTTCAAGTGTGAAGGAAAATATCTTTGATGGCTAGAGGTTTTAGTATATAAGAGAGACAAGTATATAAAATTACCTTTTATTCTTATCCTTTCACTAAATATATATCGTGTATCCCTATATTACTAAATATAAAGAATTTTGATCTAATAATTTTATTTGTTTTCTTGATCATGGGAGAGGAAAAACTGCGATGCCACTCAAGCTCCAATAATTAAAAATATATATTAATGACAATTGAAAATGTGGCCATTAGAAGTAATAAACCTAGAAATTAAATCGGAAGTCATCAAATAGTGAGATTTATAAGTTGCTTCATTGTAATGAAATAGTATTCAACCCATTAAAGAGAGAAATAGCTCAACTTTTGAGAAAAGCCATTGGCTCTCATAGATTAGGTTCTGCACATATTCAACATCATCAAACTATTAAGGGAAGGTATAAAGAAAAGAAAGCTTAGCTACCTCCACTTCTTCCTCTTGAAGGAATCATCAGCTAGCACGTTAATTTGTTGGGTTGGTATTAAGCCATAAATAGTTTGGTTATCAGCACCAAAAGGGGTTGCTGTTTTTCTTAATATTATTATCGCTTTATAAAAGGTTTCAAAGCAATTATATATGTATATATATGATGTAATATATGTTAGAATCGACAGCGTTTAGAGAAAGAAAAAAACTGAACAAACACAAAAGAAGTAGATGAAGAAGCAAAATAATTCAGACTTGAGAATAAATAATACTCCTCCGGTCCTTAATGTAAGACCCATTTAACTAATTTGATTAGATTAAGGAAGTTAGGTAAGTTAGTTAATTATAAGAAAATTGACACATTTTTCCTAAAACACCATAATCATCTTTCTTAATGCCCCATCTCCCTCTTTTACTTAATTATGGTTGAGGGAGTATTTATAAGGGTAATTTAGATAAAATTGATAAATATGAGAAATTGGTCTTATATTTGGGACCAAAATCAACTCAAGAATTGGGTCCTATATTAAGGATCGGAGGAGTATCATATTTTATTTATGTGGCATATGAGTTTGTGTTTAATAAGAAGAGGGGCCTTAATGAATACAAAATCAATCTATAATTAATGTCAATATGAAGCTTGTGGAAAGGTCTCATATATGCTATGAGAAAGCCAAGCATATTCTTGTGGATGATCTGTGCGAAATATGTTTGTATGGTACTCGTAATGATGATAAAAGAAGTTTGACTAAACCTGTAAGGGTCACTTTGCTTGGCTTCAAAGGGCTTTATGTGTTGCATTCAGACACATAAAGGAATGCCATTAGTTGAGAATAATGACAGCCTTTAATAAAGGGCTTGTGAAACCTACTATCCATGGTTGACTTGTATGGATAGATGACCCTATATGTGATGAGTACAGAAGCACAATATATACTCCTCTTATTCTATTTATAAGGCAGAGAGAAAAACAATTTCTTAGTCATATTTATAGGGTAGAGAGAGAAAACTTTCACATGAATATACAATTTTACCCTTCATTTAATATTGTGTCGATTTTTTCATTCAAATAAGATATAATATATATTAAATAAGGATAAAATTAAAAAGTTATTAAATTTTAAATGAGAGTTATGTGAAACATATTGTAAGTAACTTACAAATAGAACCAGAGAATGATACTATTATTATTCTATTTATAAGTCATTTTCAACATATTTTAAGCAAACTAAGAAAATTTTTTAAATTTCATTATCTCTGTCCTAAAATTCAACAACATAAGAACAAATTAAAGTTAACACAATAATAAATAAAAAACAAAAGTGTATACTCATATAAAAAATTTAATAGTATGATTTATAAATAGGACAAAAAAACCTTTATCTCTTTTTGCTTTATAAATAGAAGCAAATTACATGTGTTTATATATATACATATATATATATATACACACATATATATGGGTGACCAGTGGAGGACATTCTTTTCCTTGTCACTTCACTTGGTTTCGAGCATGTTAGGTGTGTTCCATTTCACATGCAACATTTAATAAAGGTATTATATATACAGTGACTTGTCAGAGTTGAAAACTTTTGAGATGACCACCTTCAGCCCTATGACGAATGCTGCATATTCAACAGTTTTCCCCTTTTTTCATTCTTGCTATGTGCACTACTTGGCTACTCAAATAATGATGAGGTTTGGCCGACGATCGATTGGCCTTTCTTTGGAGTTGGATCCAACAGTATCTTTCTGAGGACATATACTATGAGGTCTCAAGGGAAGGGTTTACCCGGAAAATATGCAATATAATGACAATTTCTAGTGGACAAAAAATTTATGTTCTTCAATTGTTTTAAAGATTTTTTAGTTATTAAATTCCTTCCTTAAGATATTGTAGTAATTCTTTTTGTATCTTTTTGTCTTGGTGTTTTGTTAAAGTTCAACTCATATGGTTTGCACTTTGTAGTTGATTATTGTATTCTTTTATTTTTGAATATGATGGCAATTTTTTTTTAAGCCTAGAATATCTACTGCCAGTAAAAATAATCAATTTCTTCATATCATAAATTTCTTGAAGAGACTCTATTGTAGGTCATAAAACCCTTTCCATACACATCGCCAGGAACCCAACCCTTACTAGATGCCTAGCACACAGAATTTTTGTTTGGATGGTTTATTAGTAATTGTTTCCAAATTCCTATTTTCCTACATACTCTCATGTGAATTTTTTTTTTAATGAATTGTTGTCTAGTTTATGTGTGGCTATATTTATGTACTAATCCTTTTTCATATAATATAATTAATTCCATTGTAAAAAAAAAATCATGGGGGTGTTAAGCCTCGTAAACTATATTCAATTTCACAGTCCACTGACAGGCGTGTTTAATTAATTCATCAATTTGATTATTTTTTATGCTTCATTTTCAATTTTCTTTTGGTATGATTGAACAGATCTAACTCCTTTAATCTATTAATTAAATAAGCTAAATTGTGTATCAAATTAATTGTCCCATTTAAACTAATTAACATGGTTTTGAAAAAGTCAACAAACAAATGTAAAATCTCTCAATGTTTTGTCCTTGTTTCATCCATCAATTATATGGCCTTTCTTTATCCTGTGATGTAGAGAAGATGTTGACTCACTCCGTGGGGATGCGCATATATGGGGTTGATGATAAATCTACTACTACAAGACAGACACATTATTAAAATTTATTTTAATAATTATGTTGTGTTGTATTATTAAAAGCTGGAGCTTATGTGTTTTTCTTCAAAAGTTTTTCCTAGTAATTTGAATGGGTCAACCCATTAAGTTTCGATTTTTAATGAACCTAATTAAGATGGCATAAATGAATTGACCAATTTAACCTACCATTCTTAGAGATTAATTAAAAAAATTCTGGCTATTAATAAAATTGTCTTTTATGAAGAATTTAAAAATACTTTGAAATACTTAATCGTAGTAGAAGCACCAATTTCTTCAAGACTTGCGGAAATTAAGTTATTTAATGTAAGAACAAGCAATTAATTGTTTGAAATTATAAGCATGATTATATTTGCAACCTCTTGCTTACAAAAAAAAAAAGCCTTTATTTATACTGTTAGGTCACAAAATCATTGGCCTAAAATAAGCAGTTGACACATGCATAACATAACAATAACTTTTTGTTATTTTTTTTTCCTACCAACTAGTGGAAGGAAGTAGTTACTCATAACATGATAAATCAAAGTTCAAATATTTGTTAGAAGACGTCGCTCATATTTACTGCTCAAATAGGATTGTCTCCAATTAGAAGATATATGTGCCTAGTAAAAAAAAAAAAAGCTTCCTGTTTTTCGTACAGAGGGACAAACGACTGGGTTGTGTGTGTGTGAGTAGCTAATTTTCCTGCCATTGACTTGTGAGTGATCTCAATTCTGTGTCTAGAATTTGTGTAGAAAAAAAGTTTATTTTTGGTACAAGTGTAGGAAAAAAGTGAATATATCAGGAGTGGATTAAAAAAGGCCCAATGGGCTTTCATGCATTTGATTAGTCATGGAATTTTCATGGCCCGATTTGATTAGTCATGCGTTGTCCGTTTAGTAGATAGCGCGATATAACAAAAAAATATACTAAAACGAAAAATGAGAGAGGTTCTTAGGACAAAATGAAACTGAAAATTCACATAGTGCCCTAAATCAATTTCCATAGATCGTAAAATAGGATTGAAATACTACCTCCAGTCCTTAATATAGGACCTTGTTTAACTTTTATTTTTATTTTAGTCTTAAATATAAGATCCTAATCTATTTTATTTCTAATATTCATGAATTTTTTCAAGATAGTCCTTCTAACAATAGTAGTTCTAGCTAATACACTTGATTAGTAAAGATATTTTAGGAAAGACAATACCTATTTATGACAAATAACTAATTTAACTTCTTTTCTTAATTTTTTCAAATTAATTAACTAGCTCTTATAATTAGGACCAGAGATAGTATATAAAAATTGAAGCCCATGTGAAGCCAAGCTAATGTTTTATCACCAAAAAAAAAAAACAAAGAGAGAGAGACAGTTCGTCGGCAAAACATGAGTTTAGTTATAATTTAGGACCACAAGGTTTTAAAACTTTAGTATTAATAATCCTAATTAAAATAACGCGTGTGAAAAGACTCAAATGTCCTTGTACCTAAGTGTCTTTCTTTCAAGTGTGACCCATCGTTAATTTACAATTTTCCATGCAAGCTGTTATCTTGATCCTATTCAAGTTATTCTTTTTGGCTAGAGATCCTATTCATGGGAAGTTATATTTAATAAAAAGAATAACAAATTAATATTCAAATTCTTATTAAAAAATATGTTTATATTTAATGCTTGATAGTACCTCAAATAAAATTATCTATAATAAAAATATGCATGTGCTTAAAAAAAACTACTCTTCATCTTTAATAAGTTTTAAAAAAAACCAATTTGCATATAATAAAAAATAGATTAAATTAGTTAAAAATAATAAATAAGTAAGAAATATACTTATTTTTTAAATATTAATACATGTTAAAAACAATAAACAACAAAGAATGGGGTAAAAAAAAAAGAAAATAAATAATCAAGGATGGAAGAGAAATATAAATGAAAGCTAATAAATTAGATCACATTATTTTCAAATTTAAATACGATAAATAGGACCAGACGACTGAATAAATACTATCACTTAGACTATATATTTACTCATTCGAATAAAAATTTTATTTTAATACAGAAATTTTATTTACAGTTAATTTGAAAAATATTCACTTCATATATATACACTAGTTAAGTAATTTTGTGATTAAGTTATATACTCCTCCGTTCCTTAATATATGACTCAATTGTTGAGTTAGTTTTGGTTCTAAATATAAGACTCATTTTTCATATTTATCAGTTTTATCTAAATTACCCTTATAGATACTCCCTTAACCATAATCAAGTAGAAGAGGGAGGGGATATTAAGAAAGATGATTATGGTATTTTAGGAAAAATGTGTCACATTTCTTATAATTAACTAACTTACCTAACTTCTTTAATATAATCAAATTAGTTAAATGGGTCTTATATTAAGGATCGGAGGAATATCTCTAAAAGATTTATAAATCTCAAATAAAATCACATTTAGGAGTAAATTCCTCTCTCTTCAACTCGTCTCACTCTATATGATTTTGTAACTTATTAAGTTATATTTCTCGCAGATCTCAATGCTTCCATACTTATCCAATCTTCTGCTTTGTCTTTTTATAGATTTTGTGTGTATATGCGTGTACAAATTTTAATGTTTAACTATAATAAACTAAATTATGAATGCAGTTATTGCCTTTGGGGAAACAAATTCCCACTAAAATATGATGCCCACTCACTGAACTGAACATTTTAAAATACATTTGGACTTGACTTCCATCTTCTTGGCTTAGTTAAAAATGACTTGGAGCCACTTCGAAAGTAAACTCTGCATAGGAAAACCCAAAAATAATTTTGTAATGAACACGAGATATTCTGATACATCGTCACACGAAAACTTTTGAAATTCCCAATTGCACTAGGAAAATTACTTCCAAACATGTCAGGATTTAATGCTGGTAAAGGAAGCCAAAATTTAATAACTATTTAACAATAAAAGTTTTATTATTCAATTCTTATTGTTTATCTTTTTGTTTTTAAAGGTTTACTTGAGAACATTTACGTTGCTTATACAACGCATGCCTTCGTTTCTTGAAAATTTCCAGTTTTCGAATTGCAAAATTTTGCGTGTTTACAAAGTCTGAATTTTGTTGTGGGTGTTACACTCACAAATTAAGTATAGTTCATAAGTTTACCAAGTTATCCTACTAAATAATTTAGTCTTTTAAGATAGACTATCTCTTTAATTAATACCTCATTATTAAAAGATGCTTTCATTGAAAGTGTGATTCACGAAAAGGGTGGTTATCCATAGAGTCTAAAGCAAGAAGCCGAGTAAAGTGTCATGGTGTGGAGCTGTGGAATACATGAGCTCTCAAATTAAAACTGAGATGCATTGTTATAAGTCTCATATTAAGAAACATAGTCAATAATGGTTTATAAGCTCAAAGTCCTCTCCACCGAACATGCTAATTTTTTGAATGTACTCTCCCTTTAAATTAGTTATCATTTCAAATTTACCAATATTTATTATTATAAAAATATAAAAATAACGAAAAAGGCTCATATACATTTTTTTATAAACAAGTTGTATTATAAATTTATAATTGGAGATCTCTCTTGTTATTTTTTGGGGTGAGAATTGTCATTTTCATTTTGAATATGATGTTTTTTTTAAACAAAGACAAAATGACATTCATAGCAAATATGATATTGAATAGCCAATGAATTAGAGAGTTCGAAATTTTAAAACATTTTTGGAAAAAAAAAATTAAAATTAAAAAAATTGCAAAAAGAAAAAAAGATTAAAAAAAAACTAGTTGATTTGATGTTCAACGATCAGTCACAAATTAAAAATACAGAGACTGCTTAAATAATTAAAACCTCTAATCAATATTACTTGTTGCTTGCATCTCTTTCGAACTGTTTAAAGGTTGAAAATAATAACTTGTGAGTTCACATTTTTGGGCTCCCCGGAATTTGTAAACAATCATCACTTTCAATTTATTTTAGTTTTGCTGATCCTGAGGTAAGTAGCTCTTGCAATGAAACCTTATCTTCTCATTACAAATCATTGACTTGTTAATTCATATGTATTTATTACCAAAAATATGCTCAAATAGGGCAAAGTCGGATTTTTATTATAATGTAATTGATAACGACAGCAATTTAAATAACTGATATCTTGTTAGTCCAATTTTTTTAACGCACTCCTACCATAATTCTCAACCATTCACATCAAATTTTAATGGTACAGATTAATTTATACTATTAAAAAAAATTAAGTCTATATCATCAAATATAATTGAAAAATCAATCAAATAAGCTATTCGCAATTCTTCCTCAACCAGGGTAGGCACCAAAAAATAAAAAGAAGAAGCAGAAGAGTAAGAGGTGTTTGGTTTTGGATTCAAAATTGATTTTGGCGTGTACAAGAGTATTTGGATTTTTTTTTTTTTTAAGAAAACCTTAATTTTAGCTCTCACAACCAAACCAGCCCTTAGTACATATTATTTCCGATCCTAAATATAAGAACTAGTTGACGAATTTGAATAAATTAAAAAAAGAAGTTAAGTTAGTTATTTGTAATAAATACGAGTTATTTTCCCTAAAATATCCTCGCTAATCAAGTGTATTGGCTAGAACTACCATTATTAGAAGGACTATTTAGGGAAAAAAAGCATAAACATGATAGACAAAATGGATTGGGGTCTTTTATTTAGGACTAAACTAAAAGTCAAACAAGATCTTATATTAAGAACCGGAGGTAGTACCAAAAAATATAAAATAATAAGTAAAAAAAAGAAAAAGAAAAGGCTTAGGAGGTTGTCTAGCGCTTATAAAAGGCCGGGTTTTCTTCAAACTTGACACACACCTCCCATAGAGCTTTTCCTTGGCCATAGGAAGATGGCTCCTTCTCTGAATACCAAAACACTTTCACTTTGCTCCTTCTTTTCTCTCCTTCTCTTTTTGGTATGTAATATGTGCGCGCGCGCGCGTGCCCCACACCCAGCCACCCCATGCCTTTTAAGCATATTCTTTCTTTGCTAGTTTTATTTTTCTGCAGCATATATCCACTTTGTTCTATTGCAGATTAAGCTTTTTGTGGGAGCACGTCATATAAATATTGTCACATATCACTAAAATCTGCTTATAAGAAGTTACGCACTATTCATTAGACTAATGAATAGTGCGAACCGTATCATCTTTTAGTACATAATAGTTAAACATTAAATAGTTTGTTATATATGTGAGCACCCAGTGATCTATTATGTTGTGTTATGTGTTTGTATATGGTAAATTTTCTGTTTTTAATTGAACTGCCTTTTTGCAGCATGTGTGTGCAAGAGAGATGAAGGTAGAGGAAGAGCTTACAAAACAAACTGAAGCCTCAGCTGAAGCAGGTAACCCTTATATTACTGGATATATCAAACACAAAAAGGTGAATCAGCCTTATCTTGCTGGTTATATTCACTCTCAAAATGATAAAAAAGAAAAAAGCAAACCCTATATAACTGCCTATGGTGGGATTAAGGGGGACAACCAGCCTTACATAACTCAATATATTAATGGCAACAAGATAAATCAGCCTTACCCCACTGGTTACCGTCACTCCCGCAATGATAAGAGAGAAGAAAATGAACCTTATATAACTACTTACGGTGGGAGCAAAAAGGAAAATCGGCCTTATATAACTGGATATATCAAAGGCAAAAAAGTAGATCAGTCTTACCTTACTGGCTACCTTCACTCCGAAAAAGATCAAAAAGAAAAGGGTGGATCTTATATAACTGGTTATGGTGAGAGTGAAAGAGAAAATAAGCCTTATATAACTGGATATATCAAAGGAAAAAAAGTAGATCAGTCTTACCTTACTGGCTACCTTCACTCCGAAAAAGATCAAAAAGAAAAGGGTGGATCTTATATAACTGGTTATGGTGAGAGTGAAAGAGAAAATAAGCCTTATATAACTGGATATATCAAAGGCAAAAAAGTCGATCAGTCTTACCTTACTGGCTACCTTCACTCCGAAAAAGATCAAAAAGAAATGGGTGGATCTTATATAACTGGTTATGGTGAGAGTGAAAGAGAAAATAAGCCTTACATAACTGGATATATCAAAGGCAAAAAAGTAGATCAGTCTTACCTTACTGGCTACCTTCACTCCGAAAAAGATCAAAAAGAAAAGGGTGGATCTTATATAACTGGTTATGGTGAGAGTGAAAGAGAAAATAAGCCTTACATAACTGGATATATCAAAGGCAAAAAAGCAGATCAGTCTTACCTTACTGGCTACCTTCACTCCGAAAAAGATCAAAAAGAAAGGGGTGGATCTTATATAACTGGTTATGGTGAGAGTGAAAGAGAAAATAAGCCTTATATAACTGGATATATCAAAGGTAGAAAAGGAGATCAGTCTTACCTTACCGGCTACCTTCAATCTCAAAAAGATCAAAAAGAAAAAGGCAAACCCTATATAACTTCTTATGGTGGGAGCAAAAGAGAAAATCAAGCTTACATAACTGGCTACATCAAAGAGAAAAAGGTGAATCAGCCTTACATAACTGCATATGGTGGTAGCAAGAAAGATTCACAAGGAGAGAATCCTACAGAGTCTTATGCAGCCACCTATGCAAGAGACTTCAAAGATTCTTATGCAGCTACATATAGAAAGGAAGAATCAGGGAGTAATGATGCAGCCATCAACAAAGGAGATCATACGGAGGCATTCAAGACAGGCTTTTTCGCTATGGATGATCTTTACGTAGGCAGTAGGATGACCCTCCAATTCCCTATTGAAGAGTTTCCTCACTTCCTCACAAGGAAAGAAGCTGACTCCATTCCTTTCTCAACATCACAACTTCCAAGTGTCCTTCAACTTTTCTCAGTCCCTCAAGATTCACCAGAGGCTCAAGCAATGGGAGGCACACTCGAACAATGCGAGCTTCAACCCCTAACAGCAGAAACCAAGGTCTGTGTTTCTTCCTCAGAGTCCATGATTGACTTCGTTCGCTCCATCATCGGTTCTGATTCTCAACTAGACATCCTCACAACCACATTGCCTGCAACATCAAATGTCCCTTTACAGAACTTCACTGTTCTGGAAATCTCTCCAGATATCTATGCTCCTAAATGGGTGGCTTGCCATCCATTGCCTTACCCTTATGCTGTTTTCTACTGTCACTTCATAAGCTCAGGGACCAAGGTCTTCAAGGTTAAATTGGGTTCTGAGAATGGAGAACAAATGGAGGCTTTAGGAGTTTGTCACTTGGACACATCTGAGTGGAGTCCTGATCATATTTTATTTGAGCAACTCGGATTCAGGCCAGGGGAAGCTCCCGTGTGTCATTTCTTCCCAATGAAGCATCTCATGTGGGTTCCTCTTCCCTCAAAAGCCACCATGTGAAAGTGAAGTTAATGTTGTGTCCTTGTTATGTGTGTGTCCAACAATAAATGAACAAGGCCGGCTAGCTGGACTCAGTGTTGTACAATACGCAGTAGATCTCAGTTGCCCTGCTTCTGTTGTTCATTATCCCCCGGTGATTTTTTGTGTTGTTTCTAAGTTATGATCCTGAAGCTTCTCTTGTTGACTCATCTGTTTTCACTTTTCGTTCGTGACATTAGCCTAGTTCAAATCAATAACTCACTTTATTTTTACCTTGCTCTGAACGATTGATTGAACATATAAACATTTAAGTGCATATAAAAAATTACATGCACACCAGGTAATAAACTGATTTAAAATTTTACTAGAATTAAAATATCAATGTAATCCTCAAATAATAATTTTCTAATATAACATTTGTTTTGGCTTCTCATCTAACTTAAAAACAAAAAGTTTACGTGATAAAGTGATTATCGATGAGAAGGGTAGCAACTAACAACGGAGCCTCTATGGCCTTTCTCAAGCTACAAACAGGATGTTCAGCGTTGCACTCGTCTATTTAGCTAGGAACACATGCAGTGATTATCCCAATAAACACCGAAGGACTATAAATTTATGAATTTATAAAGAAGGACCCGAGTTTCTAAAGGGAAAAAAATACGAGCAAGGGGATAATAAAAAATGGCTAATCCTATGAAGTATATGCTTTCTTCATTTAAAGCCTAATCCTATGAAGTAACTGCAGAAACCAGGGACATGCCAACATGTAAAGCCTAATCCTTTTGTTTGTTGTTCCTTCTAGGTTCCTCTCACTCCCCTCGTAACTTCGATGCTCAAATACATTCCACTTTGATTTGCAATTTAAAAGATCACAGTTCCTTTTGATTTGGGCGGAACTGAAATTCTAATTAAGGATTTTAACTTGGCTGATGCAAAGAGCTATACATACAAGTCACATCCGTCAATATATAACTCGTACGCAAATGGGAAAACAAAACGCTCAGAATAATTGGCAGTTGTATTTCAGTCACTGTGCGGGATCTTCAGTAAACCTAGCATCAAAAGGAGCCGAGGGATGAGAATGAGCTGAATTAGCAGCAGCAGATCCAGAACCATGCTGCAATTCAATCACAAGCCAGCGAACTGCTTTACTCATCTGTTCCAACCGAACTGCACTGATGGGTGGAAGTCCAGTTGTGGTAGATTGTCCAGACTTTCCTGCCACGGACCCTGTTGCCTCATCCACCAAACACTCTGATCCTATTCTCTGCTTCACAGACTCCACAAACTCTTCGGCTTGATCACATGCCACTCGAAACAATTCCCATTTCTGCTTAAAGTTTTCTAGAGCAGTGTCGGTTGCCATTGCTTTCTGGGCACCGGCATTTTCCTTAACTTCTAGCACATTTGCTGCTGCAGCAACAAAATCTTGATAGGCACTATTGAGCGAATCCACAAGGTTGTCCATTGAAATGCACTGGATAAAGATCTTGTGATTGCACAAACTGAGGCAAATTAGGATTCCAAAGTTAGGGCTCGAGAAAATCATATGCATTCAAGGCTCACCAACTAATTACCAAAGTTCCCAGACAATGACAAAGTAGAACATCTAAATAGTTTACATAAGCAGCCTTCAAATCAAGATAGAACAAACACGCTTTAGAAACCATTTTTTTCTTCTTAATTCCCCCCCCCCCCCGGGGTTTTAGTTACTTCACCATTTCAGGCCCTACTAAATTCGCTCTTTCAACATAGAAACCTAGCAATCAAGATTAAACACAATCAAACAGAAATAATCTTGCTCCAAAGTTTCCTTCGCATAAGGAGAGGAATATTACGGCGCACTGTGGAATAATGAAAAACCAAAATTGCCAGGAATGTCCGGGATTTAATAATGATGATAGGCCAAAATTAAGAGGCGCCATGGGCCGGAAATACATAATATTTATCTCTGTCCGCCCTTGAATGTCAGAAGCTTTCGCTCAACATTATCTCTTGCCAATGCAACAATTATCCCAGTTAAGCGAAGAAAACTCCCTTCCCAACCACGAAGAACGGAAGCGCATTTTTGGTAACGTAAGGAATTGCAGTTAATGAAAATTTTATAGAAAATACGCAATTACACCAGCCGACCAATTATGCGCAAAATTTCTTTCTTCAAATAAGATACAAAAACGAGTCAATCTGCAAAAGTAATTGATGCTTGCTGCTATCGACATGGTGGGTGCTAATTCAAAACCAAGGACAAAACTATTCAACCAACAGAATAGGAGGAACAAGGAGCCAAGCATGCGAAGTAGAAAGAGAGTAAGTAATGGACAAAAGCGAGATGCAGATGAAAAAAAAAACGCAAAAAAATGTGTGCATCAATATCCAAAAGCCAAGGAAGGGAGAGAGAAGAGCTTTAAAGGCGAAAAGAAAAGGAAAGAAGGAAGGAAGCAACAAATTCGTCAAAATCCAAGATCCACAGAGCCTTACCGTATTCTGCAACAATCAAAACGGAACTCGAACTCGTGGATCTCCTCCTCGCCGCTGTTCTTGGTCCACTTCACGAAGTCACGTGTGTCGTTGTCGTCTCGTCGAGGGGCTTCGGAAGCACCTCCGTCGCGGATGGAAGGGAAGGAAAGTGAATGAAAGCGGCGTACAAACATGGACTAAGGCCCATAATGTTGAAAGCGATCGGTTGCTTTGAATGGCCCAATAGTGTGAATTTTATATGGGACCGGCTTCAGGCCCAAGCGAGTGACCCAATTGTGTTGCTTTTTTTTTTGGTTAACTTAATTGTGTTGCTTTTGTTTTTGGTAACTTAATTGTGTTGCTTTAATTTTTCGGGAAATTGCTTGTAAATGCCTATTTAAAAAATAAAAAAATAATTTCCCAATGCTATATGATATGTTTTTATACAAAGAAATTATCGGTACATACTCTAAATGATTTCATACACAAAAAGTACTCAGGCAGTACCGAACAATTTAATTCCCCAAACAATTATTTATAGGCAATTTTTCTTTGATTTTTTTAATTATTTTGTAAGAAATTGATTCATGATTGGTAATAATTCAGTCAAAATAATTTCTTATAATAAAATGTAATAAGTCCACCTCTTAACATAAGTTGTTTCAAAAAGATCGAATGCCAGTTTTTGTGGCTATGTTTTTCATTTTGTAGGTTTACTTGTGTCGTTTTCACTCTATTGGGTGTTTATAATTGTTTTTTTTTAATCTTTACGTGATTTATGTCTAATGGAAGAGATGAAAAAGACTATTTTGGCGGAAAAAAAATGATTCCCCATTGTCAAAGATGGATAAATAAGAGGGTATTATTGCCCCATTACCAACATTGTGCTTGGATGAAATTCTATGTTCAAACATGCCGTTGATATGTTTTGTGTGTGTATGTTTTAAATTTTATAAAATGAAAAAAAAAGAAGAAGAAAGGTATCAGATATGGATTTCCTATACCTCTTTACATATCTCCTCAGAAATGTCATCAAAATTAATGAGTCAAATAAGTATTATGATTCACTTCATCTATCATACCTACTCTCCGATCTTTACTGTTAATTTGACCCATTTAACTAATTTGATAGATTAAGGAAGTTAGTTAATTATAAGAAATTGACATATTTTCCTAAAAAACTATAATCATCTTTGTTAATACCCATCTCCTCTTCTACTTGATTATAGTTAAGTGAGTATCACATGAGTAATTTAGAGAAAATTGAATAAATATGAGAAATGAATATTATATTTAGGACCAAAACCAACTCAAGAATTGGGTTCTATGTTAAAGACCGGAGGAGATAATTTTTATCTAGAATAATATGTAAACTAACTCATTAGCTAATCTAATTTTTGGTGTTAGATATATATAATCTTGTATGGCTACATGACACAGTCAAATTCGAGCATTGTCAAACAATATACTCCTCCAATCCTTAATATAGACTCATTTAACTAATTTGATTAGATTAAGGAAGTTAGTAAGTTAGTTAATTATAAGAAATTGACACATTTTTCCTAAAACACCATAATCATTTTTTTTAAATACCCCCCTCTCTCTTTAACTTTAATTATAGTTGAGGGAGTATCTATAGGGTAATTTAGAGAAATTGATAATATGAAAAAGGGTCTTTTATATTTAGGACCAAAACCAACTCAAAGAATTGGGTCCTATATAAAGGACCGGAGGAGTATAATCTAATATTTCACAAAAGTATTTCAAGAAAATCATGTTATGTTTGTGATTATTAACAAAGTTATTTAACTTATTTAATCTATTTAAATTAGTTTTATACTAAAAGTCGAATTGAGTAATCTTCTGGCAAAAATATTGATTAATTCTTATTCTTATTGTTTGCAAGACTAGAAAGATTACCTAAACAATAATGGCCATCGGGCCTTAATTTCTTGATCTTGAACTTATTAAAATTCAAACAGATCTTTGTAACATATTATGATGGTAAAAAATAGGGCATTCATTAAATGATCAAGATCTAAATAAGTCGATTTTCTCCTGGTACTAAGGTCTTATCACTAATAGCATGTCCTGCACGAAACTAATTGTCAGTATTTAATTATCTCTTGGATACCATAATGAATGAGTCATGACTCTTCGATCTGTTGCCCATAGAAACGGTGTAAGAATAGTCTTGCTCTTCATACAATCTTATTTATAGGATATAATAGCATGTAATTAATGCAAAATGCCATACAAAGATCAGAATATAGCACTGATATAAAGGATATGAATGGCCTCCTCGATATTCTCCAACAACTTTAATAATATCTATTATCTCTCCCTTTTGATATATATATATATATATATATATATCTATATGTATCTCCACATCCTCATCTACCAAATAGTACATGCTTTGAGTCCAAGCTAATTAAGAGACACCTGGTTACACTTGCTTTAATTTCTCATCTTTATAAGAATTTGATTGATCTGGTCCAAAAAAAAAAAATTTGATTGACGATTGATAAATAATATGTCAAAATAATTTATTATAATAAAGAATAATAAGTCTAGCTGTAAAAATCTTTTAAACATGGAATATATACCCAATTGGTTGGCTATGTTTTCTACTCCCCTCTGTTTATATGGAGTCTCTATTCAATGATTAGAGACCCACAAGAAGCCATGTGGCGGCCTGGCTGAGCGACATTTGGAGCTGTGCCAGCTTGACACATTGCGCCGTGGTCTTATGCAGTTTACCCACATGTTTGAATGTGTGCCAATGGAATTAACTACACAATGCTTTATAGTTACTTCGAGCATCATAGTGCTTCATGTCTTCCCCACTTTAGCGCTCCCCCCCCCTTTTGTTTTTGCGCTGCAGATTATGATCATTGACGTTAAATTGACATATAGTATATCCAAGTGGAACTGCAACTATGCTTATCTAATCAACGCCTTCCACACTCCTCAAGAAGCCAAACTAGCAACGTACAGCGCACTGCAAAAACAAAAAAAAGCTACAAATTAAATATTGAGCAGAAGAAGTTCAACATCTGAACTAACTGATATTTCTTTTGTGCTCCTTCCAGGAAGCAACTGAAATTGTCATTTACAGAAGGAGGACAAAAATAAAGTCTGGCGTTTGTCCCCCGGCCCCCCCGAACATATCTGTGATAACCCACATGCTGGGGATGTATAAAAGTTTATAATTTATATGACAAGATGAAATTTTACAGAGGGTGTGGCCAGAACTTTAAGGGATGTGGCAAAAGCTTGTTTCTGGCTTCCCTTGCAAGACTCAATCAATGAATTAAACATATGTACAATATGCTTACTACTACTTCCAGTCCTAAATATAAGAACTTGTATGTAGTGAAAATTACACTATATAACTTAGCTCTTATATTCAGGATTAAAAGTTACACTACAAACTAGTTTTTATATTTAGGATCGGTAGTGACATCTTATGTGTGGACAACAAACATGATTATGTAGTTCTTGCTCCTAATACATCAATACTATTGCATTTTTTATAGCACTATTTTGAAAAACATTATAGTATGTTGATACACATCTGGCACCAAATCTTATGTGTACCTCATACTCCCAGTATAAGAAATAATAGAGCATGCGAAGAGCTATTTTGCAATTTGAGATGTCATTCCTACGCCATATGAATTTATTTTCGTTGTAATTGTTTTTGAGCAAATATTTTCGTTGTAATTTAACCTGTTATCTGCACATCAACAGGATTGGCTATTACTGTCTTATTATTATAATAACACCTCTGATTCTTAATATAAAAATTAGTTTGACATTCAATTTAGTTCTAAATATAAGACACAAATCTATTTTATCTTTTATATTTATTCATTTTTTCTAAAGTAGTCTTTGTAGCAGTTATATATATATGTTAAAGATTCTATCAAATAATAATTCTAATCTGGCTAATGCACATAATTAGTTAAAGTATTTTAGAAAAAACAACACCTATTTATTATAAATAAGTAACTTAACAAATTTTTTTAATCTACTTAAATTAGTCAACTAACTCTTATATTACTATCTCCAATCATAATTATAAGACCAATGATGTCTTATAATTAGGGCCGAGAGTAGTACTATTTGAAAGGTTTTTATAAGGCAAAAATATAACATATTTCCGCACATTGCGCAGGTACTCGACTATTCCATTACAAAGTGTTCATCGAAAAAATATCGAAATATGATGGTTTTAGTGTTGACTACACACCATTATCCAGATGCTATTCATTTTAAATATCAGGCATTTTATTTGGAATTTCTAAATAATTGAAATTACTATTTTATAAAATGCTTTACATTTTGAGACAAACATATAAAAAATGTCTTCATATTTGATATGGAGATAATAATAAATACAGGTAGTGTATGTTCTATTTGCTTACATCATTAATAAAAATACTAAATAGCAAAGATGCAACAAAAAAGTGTATTCACTGAATAATTGAAGAAAACAATTCCTATTCTTATTCTTATTATTTAAATTTACAAAGCCCGATCGGATTTACATGTGGAAATAGTAGTTAATAATATAATGTTCTATAACAGTTACAGGTCTTCTTCCTTTTTGGTTTTTTTTTTTAATTAAACCTGAACGATACTCTGAATATGAGGACAGAAAATTTAGCAAATTAAAATCATTAAATGATCAAAGAGATTCAAATAATACTAATACGACTCCTTTCTCACTAAGTTCCTATCGCTTGATTAGTTATCTCATTTTCCGCACAATCATTAATGCAAATACTTTATACCTTTGACTTACCGGTCTGTCCATTATCATTCTCAAATCCCATTGGCTTCCCCTTGAGTTCAACTGGACACCCGGTATGCAATTAGAGATAATCCTAACCATCAAGCTTCGTGAAGATCCAAAAATCAGGGTTAGGGTTTTCTCATTTTCTTCTTTTATCTTTTCCTTTTACAATTTCATATCCACCTTTAATTTACATAAAAACATAGTAGATGGTTTAGATTCAATATTTTATAAAATTATTATTTTAAATAAAATAAATAAATAACTTTAAGCGGTTGATATTTAACCAATACAGTTCAAAACTGTAGTATAAAGAGTAAAAAAAAATTAAAAATATTATAATAA